AGAGAGAGAGAGAGAGAGAGAGAGAGAGAGAGAGAGAGAGAGAGAGAGAGAGAGCAGCAGCACCAATGGAAGGTTCATGCAGTGCCTTGAACTCCACCAGATATAGCACTCCAACCTCTCAAACAAAAGAGGCCAACGAACTTTCCCTCAACTATCTCACCCGCAATAAAAGCCCTCCTGAGTGCTACACACAACTCCAGAAAACAATGGCTGACTGTGATATGATAGACTGTTTTGCCAGGCTTTCACAGACTCATCGGGAGGCTGAGCCCCCACACTCTGCCCAGGATGGATTTGGATTTGACCGGTAGGTAGATAACGACCAACCGCTTTGTCCAATGATAGCAATAATACCCTTGAGAAAAGATGTCGACTTTACACACACCAACCCTGCAATCCTTGCAGCAGACTGTCTAGTCCAAGACCCTGACCCTGACATCAGTCTGTGTGGGAAACCAGACTAAGTGCAATGTATTCTGAACATAATCACCGAACATCATCCCCAAAACCAAAATGACTGTGAGGCTGGCAAATGGCCATGTTTGTGCGGTTTAGCGCCAACTGCCCGATTTGACCCACCTCTCCTAAAGCGCCTGCTTGGACATACGAGAAAAGGGGGCCGGCGAGAAACAGCATACTTCACCAACCTACAGTGGACAACCAACCATTTCGATCAATCATTCCCAATCACAAGGCAGTATGTCAAAAAAATAAAAAATAAACCGCATAAGCCTTAAGGCAGTATATCACATGAACAGTTGCTGTCGGACAAAATCCCATTAACAAAGGCCTAACTACCCTGCCATTGCGGGCCGAAAAACAGCACGTACGGATGGAAGGTCCATGCGGCATGAGGAGCTTTACTTACTAGCTGAAAACTCGGACCACCTTGCCCCATGTGGCCCAAAAAACATGGCTTGTGGGGATTGCACCCACGATAAAAGCCCTCTGAGCCTGTCTATGAACACCCCCCACAAGCCAGGCCTCAGACCATTGGGACACCAGAATCGTCTAAGAGCCCCATTGCTCTCTCCATGGGAATTCCACTCCCACTCTCTGCGCATAAGATGTGGGCCCGTGGGGATTCCACTCCAAGCATAATATGGGCCCATGGGAATTCCACGCTGAGCAAACACTCCATGAAAGATTTCAACTTGCAGCAAACACTCTCTGAGAATCTTCAACAACACCTCTTGGCCAACACCCCGATTTCACCACAAATGAACCAGGCCCAATGCTTCTGGCTCGGCCAGAAGTACAAAGTACAAAATCTCACACAGAAGAACATGTGTGTGTTTTATCTCACACAGAAGAACATGTGTGTGTTTTATATTCCCTATAAACAGAAGCCCACAAAAAAAAGGGGTGACTGTGACAGATTGTTTCGTCGGACTTTCACCGACTCATCAGTCGGTTGAATCCCGACAGTGTTTTCAGGACGCAATCGGCTAAGCGCGCCACATTTGTCCAAAGGGGTAAGTAGTGCCTATTTGTGAGCAGGAAAAAAAATTGTGAGTGGGAGCGGGCAAAAGGAGTATGTACGTCTGAAAAAGGGGTAAAGACGGGTCAGGTCAGCAAACCCTCGATCCCCGCCAATGCCCCGGCCAACCCTATCAAGTTCTTCAGAGCCTCTTATCGAAGAAGGTACCCTCGCAGCAGGCCTCCTGATAACCTAGGAAGTGAACCTATTGTCCCATTTACCTCAAACCGGCCTTTACTACTCCACAGAGGATCTGCTCAGAATCAAACTCTAAGGACTGGGGGAAAAAAAGAAAAAGATAAAAAGCGCCGCGGCTCCTTCTCTTATGTCTGAAGGAGAGATCATATGGAGAGCGCGGACAGTGCAGGGAAATTTTCACAGTGGTTGCTACATCAAAAGCGGAGTGTGCAATCCGTCGGGACATCCGTTAAAATTGGAATGATACAGAGAAGATTAGCATACTCCTTCCCCCCCCCCCCCCCCCCCCCCAAAACAAAAAAAGGAAATCGAAATAAAAAAAGGGGAGTGTGCCTTTTCACCCCAAAGTCCATGGTCCTACTGCAGCAACACAACATTTTCTAGTTTTTTTTCTCTGGCAGCGCCAGACATTTTTTCGTCCGGTAGCCGGTTTAGCTCAGTTGGTCCACGAACTGTTGAAATACAGACCCAAGTTCGCATCCAGAGACAATCAGATGACCCGAACAGAACCATTTCCGAATTACTTGGGCATACAATTCAATGATGATGTCTCAAGGCGGTCGCACGTTTGGGGGGGGGGGGGGAAACAAGCCTCAAAATACATTTCAGAAAGTGCAGCGTAGAGAGTGATACCTGATACACTGTCAAAGCGCCCAGCACCTTTGTCCTCATCGCTGCCCTGATGCTTAGCCCCTCTGCTTCGCTCTCATCCATCGGATCTGCCGATGCAATCACATCTTCAGCATCAACAGCGAATTCATCTTTCTGAACCAATGCACGACCCGTCCTCGAAGCGTCCATCGTCATCCCCTCAGGTCTGCCAGCTGCAGATGTCTGAAAATATTCCTGTCCGCCATCCAGAACTTTGTTACGACGCAGCTCTCCTCCTGACCATTTGCCGCGCTCCGCTGCTTCATTTGCCATGCTAGTTTTCTTCCCACCATCCTCCTTGGGCCTGCCATCCTCGAGCGATGACGTATACACTCCAATCAACACCTGAGGGTCTGGCAAGAGAGGGTGCACCACTTCACAAAGGCCTTCAGCAAAGGTCAACCAGGATTGGAGGAATTCCAATTTGACCATCCCACAATGCCTGTCCTGCGCTCTTTCCATCTTTGTCTCAGAGTCAAGTTTCTCCATTTCTAAACTTGAAAAGCTTGTGGCGCCATCACGTGATTGTTCAGGAAACAGCACTAACAAATCACAGAATTTGTGGGAAATGCCTTCAAGGACAGCCTGAACAGCCCGAAGAACGCATAACAAGGTGCATACACACGTGTACTGGGCAAAACCAAAATGACAAAACCACACGAGCAAAGTGATGTCAATCAGAAAGCTAATGAGAGTCTCCTCGACAGCATAACTAAACTGCACATTTTGAGTAAAATGTCCCTTAGGGCATAGAGTCTGGACCTTCTAGGAACGGGATCTCCTCCACAGCAGAAACCCAACACAATCTCCTCCTCACAACTACACTGCACAGTTTGCGTAAATGTGCTTGAGGGTCTAGAGTCTGCACCTTCTTGGAATGGGATCTCCGCACACAGCAGAAACCCAACACAATCTCCTCCACACAGGACCACACGGCATAACAAGGTGTGCATATATATAGAGAGAGAGTCAAACAGAGCTGAACGGTAAACCGTAGGCAGAGAGGGAGAAGAGGACAACAAACGAGGGGCTGTGGCAAACTGTTTCGTCGGAGTTTCACCGACTCATC